TGATATCTTGTATATTTATCATTTCTGATACTTCTTTGATAATATATGTCACTTGAGTTTAATTCAGTGGCAATGGAGCCGGTGCGGGCTCATATGAGGGTCAATGATCTCTTTTAATTATATATATATATATAATATAAGACAAATTTTTTATATCTTTCAGGATACGAGTAAAGGCGTTTTAAAATACTACGCAGAAAAAAAAATTTTTTTCCCAAAGGTTATTTTTATTTAAATTAAATCAAAATAGTTTGAAATTATTTTTTTAACTGCAAACTTTTTCGTTGTCATAGCAAAAAAATTTAGTTGTGGCTACTAATTTTGATAGATCCGATAGCAAACATTTAGTTAGCATCTGTAAGCAATTCCTTTTTTGTCCGTCTGGAAAACTAAAAATTATTTGCTTCAATTAAATATTTATTTCACAGAAAATTAAAAGGCATTAAAATAAGCTGCAACGCTTATTATTTTAATCTAATTTTGCTTATTTTTATCCATTTTGTTATAAAAATAAGCAAAATTGGATTAAAATAATAAGCGTTGCAGCTTATTTTAATACCTTATAATTTTCTGTGTTAATATAAGTTTTTATTTTGTGTACATTTTTTCAATTCAAATTTTATCCCCCGAAAAATTTATTGTAAATTTAAATTATTGTTACCTTTTGTGTGGCATTAAAAAAGAAGACACATTTCACGAGTCAGAATTAATTAAAATATTTTTCGTAATTTGAGCTGAGAAAAAATGTATTAATTGTTAATTTCTCGAGGGGGGTATAAAAAAATGAATGTCGAGTGTAGTTTCGTATCGTGTAAAATACGTATTTTAATGGGCAGTAAAGTTGGTTGAAATTTGTTTAAGAGACGGTGGTTGTCCTTCCATTCTTGTATATATATATATATATTTTCAAGAGAATCTGAAAAAAGCAATGCGGTATTTCTTGTTATTGGGAAGCTTTACAATTAGCTAATTATACCGGAGATGGTTCCTGGCAACAGTAAATGTCGAGATCTCTAACATCTTCGATAAAAAGTGCTTTCAGACGATAAGGGACTTGTACTATTTTTGTGAGAATATATATATATATATATATATATATATATATATACATATATACAGATAAGAAAAGAAGTAATTAGGCGTTTATGTGGTGGTACGTAGTATCCGAGTACACTTTCCACTTCGTTTCAACAGCTGGCCTTCTCCTGGCAATTAAACCAGGCTTTTATCTCGTCTGCGTAAAATTTTGCAGGTACCTGGAAATTTAAAAGTTTTCTTCTCCCTGAATCATTAAGTATTAGCATGCGGTTAAAATTCTCTTAAAATGCAGTATAATCCAATGAAATGATAATCCCATATGTGCAATCTTTCTTTATTAGAATTATTTACATGTTATTAATTGCCACACACTGATAATAGTAAATAATTTTGTTTCAAATTATTATACATACTTTAAACATTTTAATATCAAATAGATTTGGGAGCAAAAAAAAAAAATTTAAAGAAATTTTTTAAATTAAATATTTTTTCAAATAAAAAGAATGTTTTGTAAAAATTTTGAAATTAACATGAGATAAATATTTTTAGGAAACTATTACAGTTTTAGAGTACGGTACTATTATCATTTATTAAATTCCTACACGCATATTTTTGATAGAGTTAAGAGCAAAGTGTGGATTTATAAAACTATTTGAAAAGTAGAAGTGATGAAATTTTTAAAAATCTCATCTATACTTGAAGAAGCTGAAACCGGCATGCATATTCGAGATAACCTTCTGTCGTCTATGAAATTTTATATTGCCGTCAATGAAAGGCAATATGAGTCCTTTTGCTAATTTATTACCTAAAACGATAACAGTTCGTATATTAATGAGCTCAGTATTTTTTTTTTTAATATCGAAAATGGATTCTTAAAGCCGAAAACTTGATAAAAAGCCCCCTTATCTTTTCTATAAATATAATTATATACAGTTTATTAATATTCAACAGTCGAACAAAAAAAGAAAAACAACTTTCTAACACTAGAAAAAATTGTTTACGTTAAATTAAAATATTGGAAACAAAAAAAAAAATATACAAATAAAATCGAGAAAAAAAATATTTGTGAAAAAAAATGAAGAATTTAGAAATGTGAGATTTCACTTTTCTCTCATCTCTTTTTAATACAAGAAATTCGTAATCATTTCTGGAGGGATATGAACCTGTTTTGTGTACAATGCACCCAACTGACTTCTTTGTTGAAAAAGTGGAAAGAGAATATATGAAGGTGAAGATGAGAAAAGGAGAGAGAGAGAGAGAATAGCTTCTATACTTTGATTTTAAGCTAAAGTCAAGGTGCATCCGAGCGCCTCGCACCGGAAGTTAATGAGCGCGTTGAATGCTTTTGAGGGCGTTTGGAGGGCACATCCGAAGCGTCACTTACCAACCATCAACCGGAACACGATTTACCGACAGTATTTACCCAGTGTTCATCGACATGAATATAACAATGCCAGCGACAGTGAATATAACAATTATAATAACAATAACAATCAAAAATAATAATTACAATAAAAATAATAATAATAAAATTATAAGCTGCCATAAAAGGGCGCAGCTTATTGTAGTTTTTTTTTTTTAAATCTCAAAATGGTATTAAAGAAAAAAATGCATGAAAATATTTCAAGGTCGTTGGAAAAATAATAATCCATCCCAGGTGAAAAAATTAACGTTACTAACGTTACTAATGTTACTAACGTTAGTACCTATAAAAAAATTAAGAGTTTCTAAAATATATTTTCACAGAAACTTTGCCACTACTTTCCCATTACCACTTTCACTTCCACTAAAACTTTTTATAATTTTCATTACCATTTCTACTTCTACTTTTTCTAATTCTCATTCGCACTTCCATTCTCACTTCTACTCTTTCTAATTCTCATTCCCACTTCACTGCCACTTTTTCTAATTTTCATTTCCACTTTCACTTTTTTATATTCATTGCCACTTTCACTTTTTCTAATTTTTATTCCTATTCTTATTTCCACTTCCAGTTTTTTATATTCATTGCAACTATCACTTTTTCTAATTTTCCTTCCCACTTCCACTTGTTCCAATTTTCATTCCAATTTCATCTTCCACTTTTTTATTTTCATTACAACTTTTTTATATTTTCACTCCCACTTTCATTCCTAATTTTTAAATTTCCATTACCACTTTCACTTTTTTTAATTTCCATCCATTGTAATTAAAAAAAGTGGAAATGGTTGTGTAAATGGAAACTAGAAAGAGTTTTAGTCGAAATGGCAACAGCTAATGAAAATTAGAAGTGGGAATGAAAATTAGAAAAAGGGAAGTGGGAATAAAAATTAGAAAAAGTGGAAGTGGAAGTGGTAATGAAAATAAAAAAGTGAAAACGGGAATGAAAATTAGAAAAAGTGAAAGTGTAAATGAGAATTAGAAAGAGTGGAAGTGGGAATGGAAGTGCGAATGAGAATTAGAAAAAGTGGAAGTGGAAGTGAAAATGGGCATGAAAATTATAAAAAGTGGAAGTGAAAATGGGAATGAGAATTAGAAAAAGTGAAAGTGGAAACGGTAATGAAAATAAAAAAGTGGAAGTGATAATAGGAATGAAAATTATAAAAAGTGCGGGTAAGAACATTAAATACTTCCTGGTGGTCGATTTTCGACAAGTTTCTGCAAAAATACAAATTAGAACCAGTTTCTTAATTTTTTTTATAGGTATTAACGTTAGTAACATTAGTAACGTTAGTAATATTAGTAACGTTAGTAATGTTAATTTTTCCACCTGGGATTTTTTTAATAGGAAATTTTTTAAAAAAATTAAATTTTGAAATTGGTAAAAAATTAAATCTTAGAAAAATTCTAAAGAAAGTTTAGAAATGATTTGGTATTAAGGATTTTAATTCAGAGGATCAAATGCGCGATTGGTGTTTTAATTTTTTTTTTTTTAAATAAAAGACATTGTATTGTTAAAATACGCCACCGTCTAGACCTACTACTGTTATAATCTCGACATTGGAATTTTTATAGTATGGAGTGCAAGAGTCTGATAAGATTGTCAATAAGGAAGCTATATTGATTTTAGATAAGTGAGCGAAGGTGCTCCTTGAAATATTGGGATTGCGTAATCCAATCAACAAAATCTTTCTTTAAATATTTCTTTCTTTTTTTTCGATTGAAAGTTCAAATCGATTTTTTTACAATTTATTTTCTTAACTATTAACTATTTTATTGTATTTTATTTTTTTTTATATCTTAGGTATATAATTTTTTATATACTCTCTAAATCTGAATTAGTAAAAATGTTTACTAATTTGAATTAGTGACTCACTTATTGCTTCAGAATTAGTAAAATTTTACTAATTGTTAGTAAAAGTTACGAATAATTAGTAAAATTTTAGTAATTGTTAGTAAAAGTTACGAATAATTAGTAAAATTTTACTAATTGTTAGTAAAAGTTACGAATAATTAGTAAAATTTTACTAATTCAGAAGCAAAAAGTGAGTCACTAATTCAAATTAGTAAACATTTTTACTAATTCAGATATAGAGAGTATCTTTGATTTTTATATTTTTCAACAGTTATTTTAACATTAATTATTAAAAGCGTGTGAAAAAAGTTTCAAAGAAATCGAATTTAAAAAGAAAAATATATTGAGTCGTATATATATTAAGAAGTTCCAATCAAATTATTATGAACGTGATCCATTATTGGCTTAACACCTCAATAAATATGAGGTTGGTTATTCGGTTTTAATATCAACGAATTGAAAGATGAAATGCTCCTCTGTTGGTCACGTACGCTTGATCAATTTGTATCAGAAATTATACTATATCCTTATGGTAAATTTCGATATAATGATTTGTAAATTTCTTCCTATATGATAAATATATGAGTCTCTTAGTCTTTTTTTTTAATTTCTCAAAATATTTCTAAAAGATTTAATTTTTTTTTTAAAAACACTATAATTTTTCTAAATATATATTTTATTGTTTCAGATAAATTCGCGAAAGCAGCTCCAGGATGTAGATCGGGTGCAGGACAACAACTTCAAGGTAGGAAATATTACAATATTCAAATTTTTTATTAAAAATATTAACGCAATTTTTTTTAAAAGTTTCTTTTTGTGTTTTAAATACAAAAATTTATATATTTTATCGGAAAAATTAATTAAATTTTTAAAATTATTATTGAAGTTACATCAAAACGAAATGCAATAATTTGCCTTGAACAAAAGTATTATGTAAATTCGATGGGAATGTTTGATAGACAAGACTCGAAAAATTATTATCAAACATATTTGATTCGATGAAAGATAAAATTTTTGTAGAAAAAAAAAATTCATTCGCAGAGAATTATTGTTTTAATTCGAGAAATAGAAATTGCGTGTAGAAAATATCTATGTATATGAAAGTGTTGGGCGTTCTTTTATAAGGAAGTAATTAGCAGTGGATATTAGAAATCGTTTAAGCAGAAAAGATGATTTTTTAACAGATTTTTTTTTCTTCCTTGAAAGGCGTGATTCTTGAATTTAATAGCTGGGTTGCGAGTGACGCTAAAGGCTTCACGCGGTCAAAACGATAAGTCATTAAATGAGAATTTCGCGTATGAGTTATGTATATTCGCAAAAATATTCCTCAGAGAGCGTCAATTAGGCTGCATATTATTCCGCTGAAAAAAAATTAATCCTCATTTAGATTTTGCAGATTATAGCAAAAAATGATGCTCATTATATTCCAGTTTCTAATTTTTTTAGTTTTCTTAAAAATTTAGTTCCGTTTTCATAAAGTATGGAAAAAAAAGAATTGTAAACTCCAAGAAAAAATAATAACTTTTTTTCTATTTTCGTTGTAATTACTCTAGAAAAAAAAAAAACAATATGTGCGTCTAATTATATATATAGAATACATATCCTATAACAAGCAATAGTTAAACATGTCACGTGTGATCAGAGGAATTTCCGAATTAATTATTAGCGTTGCAGATGTGTCTGGGCGATTATGTGCGAAGCGTTCGTTATACTTTTTGATATTATGATAGAGCCGAGGAGTCATTAAAATCACGTCTTGAATGCTGATTCGTTTTTTGCTTGCGCGTGGAGAATTTGGCTCGGTGATTAAGGCCACAAGTTGGTAGTTATGATGCAATTTCGACCGATCGCTTTGCCCATCTAGTATATATATATATATAGTAGACGAGAGAAATTGGGGTAGCTTCCCAATATATACAGTAGCGCCAAAATTTTTGCCACACTTGCTTCTTATTATGTATCTATATAGCCATACATTATCTCTCCGGATTAAAAAAAAAAAATCGACTCCTATTTTTCAATAATACAAATTTTATACACACATGATGTGTGTTTATTTCTTTTGATCCAAGTTTTGATTACCTGCAATTCAATAAAATTGAGTAGCAATTGTTGTAAATAGATGGTAAATCATGGAAATTTTTGCATCTTGTTACCAAGAAGTATTAATTTTATTTCAAAAAAAAATTTTTTCTCAACTTTTATTGAGAAAAATACTTTTGTCGACATTTTTTTTTTGTAAATGTCCCCCTTTTTGTAATTTCTAAAACGAGCTAAATTTAATATGATTGTAGAATTCTTAATAGTTTGGGGTTAAGCGGTCAGTTGGAACGTGACCACAAGCTCCGGTTCCCACCGAGACTAACGTATTAATTACAAAATGCTTAATGTTAAATTTTCTGGAAAAACCACATTGCGGAAATATTTCTTTGCATCTGCTGCAGAAATTCTGCGGATTATCGGAGCGCTTTCTTAACCGCAAAACTATTGTTAGCAGAAAATGATGGAATTATCTCCCATTTATCTTTACTAGTATATAGTTGATTTTTGCAATTTCCTTTGTGCATGAATAAGCATTGTATATTTCTATTTAACTTATATTCACCAACAAAAATACTTAATGATTAATTTTAATTTTCTTTTCTATTACTTTTTAAAACAATAGAATGATTGATATATATAGTTCTAAAAAAGATTATGAAACAATATAGAAATAAAAAGAGGCAGTAAATCAATTTTGATTACAATCGAATTGATGATGGTTTTGTTTCGCATTGTTCTCGTTTCGATGATTTTTTATGGACCTTGTAAGATCAATTTTTCGGCCCAGCCCATGGAAAACTCCATGGCATAATTGAAATTTTATAGTTTGAGAGCGTGGAGACAGAAAAATGATGCACTTGAGATTCGTGATGACGTTGCAAGATTTATATGAAAGAGAAAAGAGATTTTAATTTTTATTTTCAAAATAGTTTGGGACGGGGGGAAAAAAAATGCTTGAAAAGAAATTCTAAAGATTAAAAAAAAATTGTTTGTAAAAGCATATTTATTTTTATCAATAGAATTCAATTTGATTTCCTTAACTCTTTGTCATGTTGAATTTTTTCGTGTATTAATTTATTTTTTCGTTTTTAATTTTTTTACACTCTTTTCAAATACTAGTGAAACGATATTTTATTTTTAATTTACAAAATACTTTTTCATTTTTTATACACAAAATGAGCGTGACTAATTTTTTCTCAATGGGTTAATGGAATAATTCCTCTGGACTAAACAGACTGTTTCTTTCTTTGGTTTTTTTTTGTCTTGTTTCCGAGCGGAAAGAGGAAACGACAATCTAAAACCTTGACAGGGTGCCGAGATAGAAGCAATCTGCAAACACGAATTGGCCATTTGGTTGAATGAGGCGCCACGAACGTATATGCAATTCGTTTTGGACCCGTGATTTTTCCTTTGGTGTGAATGCTTCTCACATATGTATTCAAAAATTATCGACATCCGCTCCTTATTTTTTGAAGGTCCATATATAAAAAGTCTATACTTTTGTTTTTACTTTTGGATATTTCAAATGAAAGTTTTTAGATGAAAGTCTTTAGCGAATAGAAGAAAAGTTTTAAGTTATTAAAAAATTATAGAGTAGTAAAAATTTGAAGCATGGAACTGGAATTAATGAATAACGATTTGCAAAAAGCAATTAAGTATAGATATCTCGCGCAGACTTTTGCCAATAAAGGCGCGAGGTATCATCTACCGTGAAAGATGCATTTAATTGCAAGCCAAGATTTTACGATATGGTCATTAGTTTGTGATTCTGGTATTAGTATATACATATCTCTTTTTTTTTCTCTCACTTTGGAATTCGCTTCGGACAACATGGAATTCCGTTATTTCTTCGATTTCATTCATTCGATTCGCTCTAAAATTCAAGCTACGGCTTGCCAAAAGTATTCCAAAAGGCGCACTCGTTGAATATGCCTTCGAATCTCTCTTCACAGAGAAATGAAAATTAGAAATTTTTGTATAGTTATTTGGTTTCAATTTATGGGCATTAGGCGGAAAATTTGCATGCGGAGAAATATGTAAAAAAAGGTGCGTTTGAAAAGCAAGGGGAGGCTTTAACTTTTGAGAATGGCAATTATACTGGTATTTACTGCCATGGTTTTGCGTCAGAAAGCCATTGTGTTTCTCGAGCTAAATTTGCATCCCCTATATATATATATAAAGAAGCGCTCGCGCTTTGGCGACCGATGATTGTTTTAATGGCATACTATTGCCATAAACTTCATTGTTTAGGCACGCCTTTTTAGTAGTCTGGGCGACAAAAATAGTCCAAATAAAAAGAATTTAAGGACCTCAATTCTTTCGTTCCCTCTTTTAAATTGTTTCCTTTGGTTTCTATTTTTTTTTTTTGTTTTGAAGTTGCTTCTCTTCTAAAAGAAGAAATTCGAAATATTTTTTCCAAAAGCGAATGCAAATTGGGTGTTTAAATTTATTACATATTGAAGTTAATTCTTCACTAAGAATTTTTGAAAATTAATTATTTTCCATATAATTATGTTCACGTCATTATTGAACGAGGTTTTAGCATAATCGAAGTGATTTAGCATCGTGAAAACACTCTGGGGTGCCTGCACCACCCGTTGACGTGTGCACGGTCCTAATATTATATATATATATATGCCTGGAGCTGTTTTGAAATTTTGAAAACGATTTATATGTACGATCATCCTATATGTGAGGACATATTATCACTGACGTGAATCACCTGCTCGATGATCCGAATATAGAAAAAAAAAAAAACAAGTTTCTATGAGAAACTGACCTTGACAAGTTTGATATCTTGTTCTCATTATTCTAATTCTCTAGTAAGAACAATTTTCTCTCAATTTTAATTGAAGTCTCATTTATACTTTTTACCATTACTGAATGATTTTATTCCTCGAGTGAAATAAGGGTTGGGCGCTCAGCATCCAGAGTGCGTATTTATCTGGACCCAAATCCTCATTATTGCACTCAACCTCTTAAAATGCACGGTGTCAGTCTCTCAAAGCGAGTGATGCATTGTCCTCGGAATTAGTTCTTAGGCTTGCGCCTCGTGAACTGCATAAACAACCCCACACATTTCTCTCTCTCTCTCTCTCTCTTTCTCTCTCTCTCTCACAGCTGTCCCTCCAGACGAGTTTGTCAGTCCATCACTTTAATCGATTTCGTCCGGACAAGAGAAAAAGAATGCACGAGCCTAGATAGGCCTGATTAATGGGTCAAATTATCAAAACGAATGAGACTGATGAATATCATTGAGAGGAATGAGAGAGTCTGTATACAGTTAGAACCCGCAGAATCACCATACAATCCTATCGCAGATAATTGGAAGTCAAGTGCAATCCCTTAATTTTTTTTTCCCTATAAAAAATTTTATTTTTTTCAAAATCAATAAAATTAGAAATAATACTATACATATTATGGAAAAGGGTAAAGAATAAATAAAATCAAAATTTGAAACTGCTGTAAAATTGATTGGATCGCAAAAATGGAATGATGCGCTGATATATTACTGAAATCTAGTTTAAAGGAAGAGCCGTTGCACAGAAAATTAAAAGGCATTAAAATAAGCTGCAACGCTTATTATTTTAATCCAATTTTGCTTATTTTAATCCATTTTGATATTAAAATAAGCAAAATTGAATTAAAATAATAATAAGCGTTGCAGCTTATTTTAATGCCTTTTAATTTTCTGTGTGGAGA